CTGTGCGACAATTGTATTTTACTGAGGACTGTCTGAAATTCCATTTTATAGTTAGAAATTTTAAGATTTTTTTTCAGAGTTTTAATGTTATTTTTGGTTGTTTTGAACTTCTTCCCATACACAACCGTCCTCAATTTCTTTTAAAGATAATAAACTAGAAATTGATATGGAGTGTAATATAAATTGAAATTCTTCTTTGCTTCATCATGTATAGTATAATTATGATTCATTAAGATGTACCTACAATTACATTGTATTTTCGTATGTGGGAAATCATGGCAGGGTTATAAAATAAAAAGGTAGTTCAGAAATTTCACCTAATGATCACAGATGTTAAAAAATTCAACTTAATAATATCTAATTTGACAATTTAAACGGACTTAAATGCAGTATGATCTGACATCGGACATCATAAACTATTTAATTTCTAAGTAAGGTTATCATAATTTCCTTTACACATTCTCTTTTTAATGCTGAAATATTTGTGTGTGAATAAAAAAGTTATTCCTGCAATAATTCATATAAATAACATAAAAAAATTGTATAATAAAGCTTGGCAAATACAATCGATTGCCGCCGATACCTGTGTTACACCATGGATTTTACCAGTGTTTACAATTTTACCATGACACCGCTTTCCAATATGGCCGCTTTCAATAATTTTCAACGATTAAAAAAATTAAAGTGGAATATTTAGACTTCTGTTCGACTTTGAAGTATGATAATTTGGAACCTTGCATAAAAAACGATTCTCTTTCAGGTAATGTAGACCGTTTCTTTGAAACTTTTCTAGTTTTCGCTCCCAACAACTTCTAATTGGGAAGCGTCCGTGCATAAAAATGCAGTTCGTGGTTGGACTTGGAAAAAGACAGCGCCCGTCCAAAATTATCTCGGTGTCTCTTTGACAAGTCTAATAAGTTGGACTAATCATTCTTATGCACTGCACTCCTCCTCAATGAGATCCATCCACCTATGAAGTTTCAAGTTGATACCTCATATACTTTTGAGATAAGCTAAGGACAAAATAGTATGAAAAATAACAAAGGGCAATAACTCAAAAATTATATAGCGAAGAGTTATCATTCTTGTGCACAGCATTCCTCCTGAATAAGATCTATCCACCTATGACATTTCATGTTGACATCTTAAACACTTTTTGAGTTATGCTCCACTCAGGTGAAAAATTAAGCATGAAAAATAACAAAGGGCAATAACTCAAAAATTATGCAGGGTAGAGTTATCATTCTTGTGCACTGCACTCCTCCTTAACGAGGTCTATCCACCTATGAAGTTTCAAGTCGATACAAATAGGAATAAATTTTATGGTGTGCAGCTCAAAATGCCGTTCAAAAAGTTTTAATGATATATGAGATAAGTATATGTGCTGGGACTAACAAATATACATTTTATTTGGATATTATGGCGTTTGGAGCTCCACACTCCAAATGTCTGTGCAGTCCAATTCTAGAGTTCCGTATTTGTGCATGTAGATTTCTAATTTGATCAGGTCAAACAATAACATGTACAAAAATATACTTACACGAACATGTTAAAGAATAGATTGCATTAGTTTTTTACCGAAATGCAACTCAAAAAGAAAGGTGGTTAACGATATACTGTCTTAGAAGTTTACGCCACTTGCAACACAAAAGGGAAATAACTTTGTAAGAAGCAATATCTACTGTACTGTACTGTACATACTGAAATTTTGCACATGCACGGTTCATTCAGAATAACTATCTGCGGAAAACTTCTCAGCGATGGACAGGAATCAAAATTATGTTCATGTTAAAGAGAAAGGAGATATACCATGCGAAAAAGAAGTAAACCGCGGAAATCTATAGTCTGACTAATTAAACCGCAGGTGTTCATACAATTGTTTCTTGCATACATAAAAGACATCCCACAGGCAGTCCAATCGAATGTACGTTTATTTGCTGATGGTCCTAACCCTAACATCAGGTAAGGTTAGGAAACCCTTTAAAAGATCTGAATACCTTAGAAAAGTAGGAGCTGGATTTGGGCATGAAGTTCAACCCATCCAAGTGTCAAGTAATCCACATCGCAAAAAGGAAACATCCTATATCAATTAATTATTTTTTCATTTTTATGGAACTTTTCTAGAGGCGATAATATCAGCCTGGGCGTGAATGTATCAAATGATCTCTCCTGGGACGTGCACATATAAACAGGTCAACCAAAAAGGCAAACCAAACTCCAGTATAATGATAATATAAAGGTAAACCAGGATCTCTTTGAAAGACCCTGTGTAAACTCAGAAGCCCTTAAGACCTTGCATAAAAGACACTGGTTCGACCACACTTAGAATATACAAAATCACTAATGATGTAGTCGCTATCCCCATAGAAGATAGGTTATCGTACCCCATTAGAAAGTTCAGCCCGATATGTAAATTTTCATTATTCGCAAAAACACTCTTCCGCTGGAACAGCTAAAAATTAGTCCCTATTTATTATTGTTTCGTTGCCAACACTTAACCAGTACAATATAACTATAGAATTTGAAAGACCCCGATGACTGTTAGCCAAATCGAGCATATCTCACCATTACAGATTGCAAGACTGCTTTTACTTTTAACAAAGCTTTTTCATTTCCCACTGTTTATTTTATATGTATATGATATTTTGTATACGTTTTCTTTTATTCCACATTTTTACTTTAAGTGTTTTTTTTAGCTCACCAGAACCGAAGGCTCAGGGTGAGCTATTAGTATCAAAGGGGTATACACCGGCGTCCGTCGTCTGTCGTCATGCGTCAACAATCATCTTCTTCTCTGAAACTGATGGGCAGATTTACCTCAAATTTGGTCTGTAACATCCTTAAATTTTCTCATGCCATTTCAATTGGACCCTTATAGGGTTAACAGACCTAAAATAGAAAAACCTATAAACATCTTCTACTACTAAATTTAATATTGGATGATCTCCAAAATTTGTCTGTAGCATTCTTAGGTAGTGTTTTGTATCAAATTTGCTTATTTTAATTTGGTTGACCCCTTATAGGGGCCGCTAGAACTAAAAATAGAAACAAAAAAAAACTTTAGACATCTTCTTCTACCACATAACTAATTGATGGATGATCACCAAACTTGATCTGTAGCATTCTTAGGTAGTGTTTTATCAAGTTTACTCATATTAATTTGATTGCCCCCTTTTAGGGGCCGCTAAAGCTAAAAATAGAAAAACATTTGAACATCGTCACCTACTCAAATAATTGATGAATGATCACCAAACTTTGTCTCTGTAGCACTTTTAGGTAGTGTCTTATCAAGTTTGCTCATATTAATTTGATTGGCCCCATTATGGGACCACTAAAGCTAAAAATAGAAATACATTTAAACGTCTGCTTCTACAGAACTATTTGATGGATGATCACCAAATTTTGTCAGTAGCATTCTTAGGTATTGTTTTATCAAGTTTGCTCATATTAATTTCATTGACTCCTTATAGGGGCCACTAAAGCTAAAAAAAAGAAATAACTTTAAATATCTTCTTCTATAGAACTAATTGATGGATGATCATCAAATTTTGTCTGTAGCATTGTTAGGTAATGTTTTATCAAGTTTGCCCATATTGATTTGATTTGCCCCTGTTTGGGGCTGCTAAAGCTAAAAATAGAAAGACATTTGAACATCGTCTCCTAATAAAATAACTGATGGATAGTCACCAAACTATGTCGATCACCAAACTTTGTAGCATTCTTAGGTAGTCTTTTATCAAGTTTGCTCATATTAACTTGATTGGCCCCGTTTAAGCTAAAGCTTAAATGCCCCAGATCACGGCATTTCTTCAAATTATAGTTTAAAGATTTTCTGCTCATATTAATATGATTGGCCCCATTATTGGACCGCTAAAGCTAAAAATAGAAATACCGTTAAACATCTGCATCTACAGAACTAATTAATGGATAATCACAAAACTTTGTAGCATTCTTAGGTAGTGTTTTATCAAGTTTGCTCATATTAATGTGATTGAAGCTGGAATAGAAATACCTTTAAACGTCTCCTTGTACAGAACTCATTGATGGATGATCACCAAATTTTGTCAGTAGCATTCTCATGTAGTCTTTTATCAAGTTTGGTCACATTATTTTGATTGGCCCCTTTTAGGGGCAGCTAAAGCTTAAAATAGAAAACCCTTTGAACATCATCTTTTACTAAAATAATTGATGGATAATCACCAACCTTTGTCTGTAGCATTCTTAGTGGCCTTATTGTTTATTATAAGAAAACAAGAAAGAAAACAAATCAGTGTTCTGAAAGTATATTACTAGAGGGAAAGTTTAAGTTGAGCCGAACTTGCCGAAAGAGCTTGACTTGCTTTTCAGCAAGTTCATTTGAAAAGAAACTTCCAACACTGAAAAACAGTTGTTTCTGGTGAGCGACTCAGGGCCATCACGACCCCCTTGTTTAGTTTTTTTTGACACGTCAACGCGATAGGTTTGGCAGAATAAGAAAATACAAATGTAGATAGATAGTATGAACACATCTGCGGGTGCTTTTAATTCAAAATTAATTCGTGCCTGAAATAATGCAAGGAGGGGCACCTGCATGAGGTCTTCCTCCACCATTAAAGCTGGAAAGACGCCATATGACGTCTGCTGTGTTGATGCGACGTAATATCCAACAAAAAATGCACACCAGTCGCATAACATATATTTATAACATGTATTCATTCATATATCTTTTCAGCTTCAGACAAATAACAATAAATGGACTTAAATATTTGTTAAACTCTCAAAATCTCGGTTTCCCTGCGACATAGGTTACCTCTTTGTATAACCTCTGTCTCAACTTCTTTTTCCTCTTCACATGTGTCAAGATACTTTATGTAAGGTATACCTTCAAAACAACTTTGAAGTCATAAGGAAGTTAAAGGATTTCTATATCGCCATTGTTTTTTTCTGACAATTTCGAAAATATCTTTCATAGACTTTCATAAACTTTATTCATTTTATTATTTTCCTGTTCGTAGTATAAAGAAAATGTTTTTTTTCCCTTGTTTTAACATCGTAATATTTTAAAGCACACAATCCAAATACAGTGTTTTAGTTTCACTATACTGACGATTGACATCGCATCTGTCTATGTTTTAAACCGTTTATACCAGTCTGGATAGTTACATTTTAGCAGGTATGTGTATTTTTATAAACGATTCATTCTACTACTACTACTACTATCAACAAATAATTTCAATTTTCTCAAATTTCTTATATGTATCTTCGAGAATTAAATTTTCATTTTAAACAAAAGAGGTAACTTGACGTAAATATTGTTGAGGCACAATTCAGAACATTCCAAGTATTAAGATTATTAATAAAATACCACATCTTTTAAAAAGTTTATTGCTCAATTCAAACTATTTTTGCTTAGCTTATTGTCATTTCATGGGAGTTTCAAACACTCTCTCATCCACCTTGTACATGTATATGAATTTCAGTTAACACCATAGAACCACCATATTCATCCATTGATATTACATGAAATCTACCATATCTTCCAGTATGATTTACTCTTCGAAAATGAAAGCGAGTATTATTTGGTTCATAATCATTGCAAACCATGCGAAAGGCATATGCTGTAAAGGTATTATCGCTATTTCAGACATACCATGCTGAAAAATTCTAAACATAAGGCATTGATTCTACATGTACAACACTTTTCCGATGTTTTTCTGGTGTTTTTTTTTAACCTACGTCTTTTTTCCGCATTGACTTTTCACATTTTCTGCATAGTTTACTTGACTGTACATACATGTAGCTGCTTTTCATGAACGTAGCTGCGAAAATCAACTGCTGAGTTTCTCCCAAGTAGTATTTGACAACCTAGACAGTGGACAACAGACGGACGTGATTGTGATGGATTTTTCAAAGGCTTTTGACAAAGTCGACCATCACAAATTAATCCATAAGCTTAATAGAATGGGTGTTAACGAACAGGTATCAACCTGTTTCTTCGCCACCGTAGCCAAAGGGTTGCGGTGGAAGGTCAAATCTCTATGGAGTTCATCCCAGACAAGTGTGAGGTGCTCAGGATTACCCGAAAAAAGAACCCCACCATCTTTCCATACACCCTTCATAATAAAACTCTCAAGCAGAATCTGCAAAGTACCTTGGAGTAACTATCTCTAAAGACCTTAACTGGACACAGCATATTAATAACATCACCTCCAAGGCCAAAAATTCCCTTAGATTCATCCAGAGAAACGTCAAAACCCAAAACAGGCAACTCAAAACATCAGCCTATGTTACTTATGTTCGACCGCAATTAGAATACTGTTCCACCATATGGCACCCCTGGCAGAAACATTTAAGTCAAAACATTGAAAGTGTCCAACGAGCTGCGGCTAGATATGTCTGTAATAATTATAATTTCGACAGTAGTGTAACCCAAATGCTTAATGAACTTGGGTGACCTTCCCTAGAAAGCCGCAGACTCCAGTCCTCTCTTGTAGTGTTCTATAAAATCCAATACAAACTTGTATATGTTTACCATAACAATCTAACCCCTACTAGAAATCTGAACTTCCTGATACCCCAGTCCCGTACCCAATATCATCTTAATTCCTACTTCCCCAGAACTCTCAGGTATTGGAATAGCCTTCCATATCAGGTCAAATCCAGTTCCAGCCTAGATGCCTTCAAGGATAGGTTGGCGACAGTCACCTTCTAGTCCCCACCCAAGTATTTTTTTAATCTTGCACTCTTTCTTTTATCCTGCACTTTTTTTCTGTGATCTTTATCTTTTAGTATGCACCTAATACTTTTAACACAGTTTTCCTGACAAGCGCCTCCCAGTCATAGTCAGAATTGATTGTTCGGGAGTAACATGTAGAATAGAATAGATTATAAGAATCTTACACCGGCTGCCGGTACAGACCAGAATATCTAGCTCGAGGAGGCTAAACAGTTACCCGAGTCGGTGTTTGTTTGAGTAATAGAAAGAGCATCGAGACACGAGGCTATCTGATTTGTACGAGGGGGCGTAGCCCCCCGAGTATTAATCATATTGCCGAGTGTTTTGATGTTCTTTCTCTTTTGCATCATAGTCAAACATAAAAACACGTTCCCTGTTGTCACAGTATGAAACCCCAGGAAAAAGAAACCAATGAACGAGCATCTGAATATGATATTTCTGTCGCATTTCCTTTCTCTGTCGTCACAATAAGTAAACCCCAGCACAAATGAGCCAATCAATGGGCATGCTCTAGTGCGGATGCGGGTAACTGATACCTGCACTTCGGTTTCCGCACTGTGCATGTATATGTATACGATTTAACTCCGACACATTTTCAACAGAAAGGTACGGTGGCATAGAGGTGACATTTGCAGTTATATTTTATCTCGTGGCCACGACTTATTATCTTGAGGCCTCACGATATTATCTCGTGGCCACGAGTTATTTTCTGGTGGCCACGACTTATTATCTTGAGGCCTCGACTTATTATCTCGTGGCCTCAAGATATTATCTTGTGACCACGACTAATTATCTCGTGGTCACGACTTATTATATTGTGGCCTCAAAATATTATCTCGTGGCTGCGACTTATTATCTTGTGGCCACAACTTATAATCTCGTGGTCACGACTTATTATTTCGAGGCCACGACTTATTATCACGTGGCCACGAGTTATTATATTGTGGCCACGACTTATTATATCGTGACCACGAGTTATTATCTGGTGGCCACGACTTATTTCAGCCAATGAAAATGGTTGTTTTATGTTCACACTGGCCTTAACTTGCACAGGAGGGGCGAGAGTCCAAACGCACCATCGTAGATTTACTTAAGTAGTTTTCAGTAGCAGAAGTAGCAGTTGCCTACGCATTTACCCAGAGACATGTTGAAATTCAGGAAGGACTTATAAGCTAGTGTATCTAGTGTGTTTTGACCTCACAGAAAGTAGATGTGTTTTGTTTAAAATTCTACACGATAAAGGTGGTCACCATGAATATATAAAGTGTCAGTTTTTTAAGAAAAGATCAACTTCCAGTACATAGTTTATTGATTCCTTTATTCAAGTTAAACCGCATTAAGTTAGAATTTAAAAGATTTAAATAAATTTCTGAGATTAAAATATTTTACTCAAGGATCAGCACAGTATATCTTTAAAAGATTTAATTAATATAAAATATTTTACTCAAAGATGAGCACAGTATATCTATAGGGTTTAATTAAGAAATATAAGCGGTTGATGTAAACTTTTAAGGTAGCTCATTCAATTACTTGACCCTTTTCCCTGTGGATTCGAATCCTGTGAAATACATGTATCTAGATAGTTATTATTGAAGATATATCACGATGTCACAATGATAAATGACTATTTTTGATGGGCTTTCTGAGTCTTTTTCTTTTTTATAAAAACTGACATATAAATGTTTCAAAGACAAATGTCAATTCTTTTAAGATCTCCTCTTTGATTGCTACTGCTACTGCTCTGCTACTGCTACTACCAATTTTACGTTTTATAATTTTGCTACTGTTACTGCTACTGCCATTTTCACTTTTTATAATTTTCCTATTGCTACTGTTGTGCTACTGCTACTGCCAACTTCTTGTTTTATAATTGTGTTACTGCTACTGCTCACTGCTAACTTTCTACCGGTGATTATCACTTATAAAAGTGAGTGAATTTTATGAAAAACTACATCTATAGAAACTTGATCCTTCAACGTTAGGACCATTAGATAAGAATTCAGAGGGCCAATTACTGATGACAAGTCACTACTCAGTCGATTTGTTACTCGGATATATACAGTTAATAGCGACACTAACTGATAAGCCCTTACTGAAATTCAGCACGTCTCTGGGTAAATGCGTAGGAAACTACTGAAGTGAATCTACGGTGGTGCGTTTGACCCGCCCCTCCTGTGAAAGTTAATGTCAGTGTGATATTAACTTTTGTTTGAGATGAAACGACCATTTTCATTGGCTGAAATAAGTCGTGGCCACAAGATAATAACTAGTGGCTACGAGATAATAAGTCGTTGCCTCAAGATAATAACTCGTGGTCATGACATAATAAGTCGTGGCCACAAGATAATAACTCGTGGCCACGAGATAATATCTTGAGGCCACAAGATAATAAGTCGTGGCCACAAGATGATATCTCGAGGCCACGAGATAGTAAGTCGTGGCCACAAGATAATAAGTCGTGGCCACAAGATAATATCTTGTGGCCACGAGATAATATCTTAAGGCCACAAGATAAAAAATCGTGGCCACAAGATAATAAGTTGTGGCCACGAAATAATATCTTGTGGCCTCAAGGTAATAAGTCGCAGCCACGAGATAAAATAAAAGTGCAAATGTCACCTCTATGCCACCGTATCTATGCCACCGTAGAAAGGTCCCACTTGCATATTACGGAACAGAAATTATGAAAACTGATATACTCATTACGCACTTTTTTCCTCTTATCGCATGGTTTGGAACTTTTCCTTTGTTCTTACTAACCCATTATACTCAGTACACTTCAATGAGCATTTGAAAATTGTATTGATATATAACAGTACAGTTTTTTCATTGATTCAAAGAGGGAAAAAAAACTCGACTGTTAAATATCGGTCGAGTTTTTTCGCACCTTGTATATATCAATGCAGTTTTTTTTATAGAGGCTCCAATGGGGCAGTGGTAACGACCATTCCCAGTAGCCAAAAAAATGGAATCAATAAAATAAAATAAAATAAATATATAAATACAATGAAAAATATAAACAAAGATAATTATTGAAATGAAATTTACTCTCATTTAATCAAACGGTACATCCGCTGAATGAGTTATTTCCACTGAAAAAAGCCCTTTAATCTTAACAGTTTACAATCCGCCTCTAACATTGAATGTCTTTTGTATATTTTTTTGCGGCAGCGAAAACAACTTGAAAAAACTACCTTATCATAAATAACTGTAATGTAGCTAAGAGTTATTTATTTATTTGTTTCTATTACAAAACAAGAAAACATGTCATTGCAATAAAACAGTTATAGTATATGAAACTCGTTAGTTACGGGGGTATACAACACTGGCTGGGGCGATATCTCGGGATGTTTAATTCTGCAAAAAAAAATTGTCTCGGCCTAACGGCCTCGCCATTTTTTTAGCAGAAACACCCCTTGATGTCGCCCCAGCCAGTGTTATATCCTCGTAACGAGCTCGTTTTATGTACTATAACTATTACATAATAGCGTATGAACTTACAATTTCATTCATAATGGTACAATGACGTCATCTTAAGAACGCAATTCATTCATAAAAGGCGCAAGGTCATTTAAAGCACGCTATGGTGTAAGAGCATCGGTGTAAAAGGTAGATAATCCTGTCTGATATGCAAGAAAAATTCTGCATCCATGTGCTCTCAATACATTCCATGGAAATGTACTTCCACGGCTTATTCTTTTTTGCTTTTGTAAGTATCTAACAAGCTCTTTGATTAATTATTATTAACAAAAAATATAACATCTTGCTTAAGTTTGCAAAATATATCTTTACACTTTACTTCAGCGTGTTGTGACGACGGATGGATATCGTACAAGTCCCATTGTTATTTGATAGGACATAAAGAACGAACGTTTATGGAAGCACATGTAAGAAATGAAAATAAAGACTATCACTTTTCTATGGTGGCTGATTTGTGCCATTCCTGTTTTTGCCCCGCGATCCCGCAAATCGAAAAGTCGAGAATTAACAAGTTAAAACGGCGGGGTCGCGGGACGAAAACACGCTAATTAGCGAGGGCGTGGGGGAAGTTTAATAAATAAAACTTCGGTCCGCAGGGTGGTGCAGGAACGAGGTTTAAGAAATCGGGCGGGGCGGGGAGCGAAAACTTCTAATTAGCGCCCCCGCTAATTATCGTGTTTTTGCTCCGCGCCCCCTCCATTTAAACTTGTTAATTATCGACTTTTTGCTTGGCTGGGTCGCAGTGTGAAAACACGCTAATTCGCGGTTGTGCGCGGCGAAGTTTTATTTATTTAACTTCGCCCTGCGCCCCCGCTCATTATCATGTTTTCGTCTCGCGACCCGCCGTTTTATTTCTTAAATCTCGCTCCGTGCCCCGCGGGACGAAGTTTTAGTTATTACACTTCGCCCTGCGCCCTCGCTAATTAGGGTGTTTTTGCTCCGCGCACCCCCCCCCCGCCATTCAACTTGTTAGTTTTCGACTTTTCGCTTGTCTGGGTCGCGGGGCGAAAACACAAATGACATAAATCAGCCACCATACTTTTATGATATTATGTACATGTATCTGAAGTATAAAAATAAAACTTCCGACAGTTCAATTACGATATGAAGTAAAGAATTACTATTAAATGAATCATTAAGATAATAAAATATGCGACTGAACAATCATTTCATTTTCAAGAACTCGAACTTGTAAAATTGAGTCGTGCGGCCGGTGCTATATAGTTATTGTATGTAATTAGATCAACCCCTCACTATTATTATAACGTTACTTAAGAAATAATATATCCAAAACAGTGATTCTATCGCTCAATAACATCACTGTTTGGAGTTCGGATACGAGGAATTATATATAATGATGCGCATCCGAACGACTAACAGTGATGTTATCAAGCGATAAAATCACCGTTTTGGATATATTATTTCGATTCTAACACGACATCAACAAATAAATGCTGCCGTATCTGATATTAACCTATATTGCGCCTGATTTGTGTCCGTACTTATTTTCAGCGCGTCACATTTTAGTGATTTCGTCACGTGTATAATGATTACGTCACAGAACGTCAAACTGTGATTTTATTGCATGTTATCGCATGGTTTGGAACTTTTCCTTTGTTCTTACTAACCCATTATACTCAGTACACTTCAATGAGCATTTAAAAACTGTATTGATATATAACAGTACAGTTTTTTCATTGATTCATATAGGAAAAATACTCGACTGCTATAAAACAGTACAGTTTTTTTCGCACCTTGTATATATCAACGTAGTTTTTTTTTCACAGAGGCTCCAATGGGGCAGTGGTAACGAACATTCCAAGTAGCAAAAAAATTGGAATCAATAAAATAATATAAATAAATAAATACAATGAAAAATATAAACAAAGATAAATTAATAAATTAAATGAAATTTACTCTCATTTAATCAAAAGGTACATCCGCTGAATGAATTATTTCAACAAAAAAGTCCTTTAATCTTGAATCAATATTGGTAACGTTACAGTTTACAATCTGCCTCTAACATTTGATGTATTTTGTATATCTTTTTTTTTCGGCAGCGAAAACAACTTGAAAAAACTGCCTTATCATAAATAACTGTAATGTAGGTAACGATTTATTTATTTATATCTATTACAAAACAGGAAAAAATAATGCCATCCCAGCAAGTGTTATCCTCGTAACTAACTCCACCGTAGGGAACGTGTTACAGTATCGCGTTTTCCGGTTACAGTATAGAATTTTAAAGATGGAGGATTATTTGTTTGGAGGACAGGTAGGTAATTTTTATTCAGGTCCATACTACAAGTAGTTTAGTGTCTAAAAGATGTTTTTGTGCTTTGCTTGTAAGGAACAGAATCCGGTATCTAGTCATATATTTCTTCAGACTCTGCACCGCAGATTTATCTCTATATTGTCTCGTAAAAATGCAGATTTGACATTTTGAAAATTTGAATCGAGAGACCAACGCATTTTTCTCCCATTCCGACATTATTTATGCATGCCTAGAAAAAGTAAATCTGCAAAACGTTAGTCCTTTATGTTAGAAAACGTTTATAAAAGTAAATGACCAGTTGAACCTATTTTCCTGTTCGTTAAATGCGTTGAAAAAATAAACAATGTTACAGTATAGAGCGAGGTGATTTGTGCAGTGTTACAGCATAGACCTAGCAATTTTTTTCCGATTTTGTTACAGTTTATACCCAGATTTCGGTTTACAGTTTAGACTTCGATATTTTCTATATAATATACAAGGTAAAATGTATGAATGTTACATAGACTTTTAAAATTGATCCGATGGCTATTCGTCCGTCTGTCGTACACATGTGTGTGCAATCTCATCCGCTCAGTAACTTCTTGACTAAATGTGATGAAATTTACATGACTTTCTACCAATTAAGTTGTTAGACTTCAATATTTTCTATATATACAAGGTTAAAATGCATGAATGATACATAGACTTTTAAAATTGGCCCGATGGCTATTCGTCCGTCTGTCGTACACATGTGTGTGCAATCTCATCCGCTCAGTAAATTCTTGACTAAATGTGATGAAATTTTACATGACTTTCTACCAATTAAGTTGCTTTGGTAGTTTAGCGCGGAGGAAGGTAGTCTAGTACTGGTGAAACTCTCCAGGAACGATGGTAAGGAAACTACCCGCCTATATGACTGAAATACTGTTGGGAAAAGGCGTAAAATGAAACAAACAAACAAACAAAACAAACAAGTTGTTCAAATAGTTTCGGTTGCAATCGGAGATACGAAAACCTAAAAACATAGATTTTATGAAAAGGCAATGTTTAAAGACCCTTCTCATCTCGAACCAAAATCATTCAAATAAAATCATGATCATGGCGTCATTTCGAATGCTTCTTTGTTGAAGTTACGATTATTTTGTCATTATTAAATTAAAAGTCGTTTTTTTTTTATTTCAGACATCCTGTATAGCAGTTTTCATGTTTCTGAAAAAGAAAATAATATTGAAAGTTATAGAGTATAAATTAAGGTCAGACAATTACAATATCTTCTCTAGTGAGCCTGATTGAGGTACATAATAGTGGCAGAGTCGGGATAAGGCCGTCCACATCAAATCATCTTTCATTTACTGCTGTAGTTGAAATCCAATCATGACTTTGGATTCGTTGTTTGTGAGGAATCTATCAAGCTAATTTACGGAAGGTCGGTGGTTCTAGTCAGATGCCCACTCGTTCGTCTGAAATGTTTCACAAAGGGTATCTGGGGTCTTTCTTTTACACTAAAGCAGGAATGTTTTCACATGACCTCAGTGTCGTTGAAACTTAAAATCCAAGAAAGCCAACAACAAACCCTTTAAAATACTTACAAAATACATTATTCCAACTTAAAATATAAAATTTAAGGTTGCAGTATTGCTCACTTAAATACTGTTTAAATTCTTAGGGTATTGCCTGCTTGTTAATTGTGTCTTTTTGCAGCTTATCTATGGTATGCAGGCTTCATAACCTCTGATCCCCTCTCAAAAATTTCATTTTATTTAGTTTCACTCATTGTATTCTCTTTTAGGGCACACGCAGTTTTTAACACTGGGAGTAATATGCCGCTTTTCATAGAATGGCAATAACGTCCTCACATTAGAAGGTTTCATGATAACGCCATATGAAACACATCCACAGCCGGTGCTTAGGAGGCGTGGGACGGTAGGTTGCAGTTACCAACTACCCGTCCATGGGAACAGGTTTAATCAAACTGAAGCCCTGGCAACATTTTTCATGTTTTCTGTGTTGGAACTTCCCTGTTAAGGCGATTTTTTTTCTCTAATATTTATTACTAATGGGCAATTATTATAATGGTGTAATGAAAATCAAGCAATAATCTTTTCCCTTCTCTCAATACCTTCGCGATTAAAAAGTTACTGTTTTTGTCGTGGTGAAAAACAGTCCTTTTACTTAGGGAACATTACTTATTCTGCAAAACAGTCCTCAAAAAGTTAAATAGAAACGACGCCCATTAAAAAATAAAAAAAATTAAATAAAAACCCGAAAAAAATATAATAAACCGAAAAATCTAAAAAAATAAATAAAATAAAAAAAAAAACCCAACCCTTTTCTCCCTCCCCTTTATAAAAAAAAAAATATAAACTCCATAAACCCAAAACCCTCGCATAACCTCTTCTGCTGAAGAAAAAAAAGTAATATCCCTTTCAAGAATGTATTCTAAATAGAAGGGGATATTGAGTCCATTATTCATAACGAACTTTGTTTGAAAATTTGGCAAAGTTATCCCTAAACTGTAACCGAAATCTGGGTAATAAACTGTAAACAAAATTGGATGAAAGTCGCTAGGGTCTATGCTGTTAACCCCCAAAATTAAACTCGCTTTAAATACTGTAACATGTTTTTCTTTTTTTCCCACAAACGCATTTTTACCAACGGAAAAATGGTTCCCAAGTCTGCCCAATATTACTTTTTATGAGGACGTTTCTAAAATACAAAGGACTAACGTTTGTAGATTTACTTTATCCTAGGCAATGCTTTTAAATAATGTCGGAAGGGAGAAAATGCGGTTGGTCCCTTCGATTTAAAATTTTTAAAAATGAAATCTGCCACATTTTTATGAGACAATATAGAGATTAAATCTGGCGTCAGGGTCTGAAGAAATATTATGATAGATACCTGGATTCTGTTTTCCTTAAAAGCAAATAGCCGAAAAAACATCTTTTAAAAACTTAACTACTACTAGTTATGGACCCTGAAATGTAAAAAAAACTCTTCCCATAAAATAATCCCTTCCACTTGAAAATTCTATACTGTAACGAAACAACCGCGATACCTGGGTAACACGTTCCCTACGGTGAACTCCGTTTCAATGTACTAGTAAGTTCAACTATTACTTCTAACACGACCCGCATTTTCCCTATTGAAGAATAGAGGGACGCGGAAAGTGTGTGTTATCATGCAACAGAGTTCACAGGTTTGACGTTCCTATATTAGACCATGTGGACCGTAATCATTATACACGTGACGTAACCACGCAAAAATCAAACGCGCTGAAAATAATACGGAAACAAATCAAGCGCCGCATTTTGCCTTAATATCAGGTAGCAGCCCGCATTTATCTTGTTGATGTCGTGTTAGAATCGAAATAATATATCCAAATCGGTGATTTTGTATCGCTTGATAATGTCATGCACTGTTTGGAGTTCGGATGCGCATCATTATATCACTCGGGCTACGCCCTCGTGATATAATTCCTCGCATCCGAACTCCAAACAGTTATATCATTGAGCGATAAAATCACTGTTTGGGATATATTATTTCTTAAATAACTCACTTTCGGATCTTCTATGTTCAACGGGGAAAATGCGGGTTGTGTTAGAATTTCCTATATACCAATGGGGGCTTTTGTCTTTTAAGTGTTCACAATATTATATTTCAGCACTTTTGTAATCAACAAGGCGCGTATCTAGTCCGAATTGATAACTACTTGGAGAATAAGTTTCTTAAAGATCTCCTTAGAAATTTGAAAGGTAATATGAATTTATTTGTAACAAATCTAGGTTAAAATATGAGTAAAATAACACTGTTTGCGAGAGAAAAAAAAAGAAAAAAAATATTGGCAATTCTTAAGATGGGCTGGTGATTGTGGCCATAGTTCTGTATCAATAATTTAATTAACGATAATTAGTTATTGAAAGTAACAGTTGGCAGATATGAAGTCAATTTTGTTAACAGTATAATATAATAATGTTGTGTTAGGCATGTGTGTATCAATCATAAAGAAATCATCCAACTGTAGTTTAAAACACCGATAAATGTATTATTTTGCCCATTTACATTTCAAGATATTTTGTTCTGTTATTTAAATACAATGTAATTGAAAAATGAAAGATTTCTTAAAAAATATTAATTAATATTTATTATCATAAACTAGATTGGGTTTTAAACGATGCATTGCCTTATTTCTATGACTGTCTTATTTTTTTTTAAGTGTCCGATCATGGACCGGGTTTGTTCTGACCAGAGTCAGAGGGAATCTGGAGATGGTTTAACACGTATAACCATGCATCAATATTGACTGGGGGTCCAGGGGGCCAAACAAACTAGGAAATGAAGACTGTTGCGTTGGATTTATAAACGAAAAAAAATTATTATTGGAATGACTTCCCATGCAACAGAAAATTAAGGGCCATTGTGTGAGAACTGTAAATATTGAACATGAGCATTGGGTTACGTTTAACTATTTTATGGACGATTATAATATGTTTTTGAGCAAAAAATAAATGGTTAATTTCATAATTTGATTATAGTAATTCAGTCTTGGGTCAATATTGCATTCAAAATAAAAAATAATGGAAAGCAATTTAAATTTATGTATCCTAAAATTTGTAAAAGATTTTTTGTTTTTTATTACTAAAAATTTACTTTTAAATTTTTAAAAAAAAAAGTAAAAATTTTTATGGGGGTCATTTTTAATAGCCAGTGATTTTTTGTATTTTTTTTAATGTAATAAAAATTTACCGCTCTATTTAAAAATGATTTTTCATTTTTTGTGCAAACTATTTTTTAAAAGCGTATAAACAAACTAATTAAATGCATGGTACATTAAGAAAAATATTTTTTTTATTTTTTGGGCATATTTTAGAAAAACCCAAAGAAAGAATTTGGGGATACGAGGAAAAAACTATTTTGCAAATACATAAACTTCTAATTAAAAAAAACGTCTTCTTTTTGTTGTGTCTTAGTTTATTTAATAAAAACTAAAAGATTAAGAAGTCAATAAAATGGTATTAGGTTATGAAATGAATTTTTAAATCCCTCGTTCTTCCGAATCTTTTTTATGTGATGTAAATAGAGGGAGTTTCTAATCACGAATAGCTTTACTTTCAAATCTCCTTTAGTGCCGATACTTCTTACTGGCGTTCGCATTAGACGACTACGCCGTTTCTAACGTGAAGGATGCGGTCCGTCTCAGGGCCTTCATAACAATCACCATAAAGCTTTGTTGGAGGTTTTTTCCTGGGCCACGTCGCAACTCGCTCCTGTCGTGTCGCTTACATCTTTGGAGGACAGCTCTGCGCAGTTTGGTTTCTTCCCGCACGGACACAATGGAGATTGAACTACGTCATACTTTTTGTTCATGTGTGGCGTTAATCTGTTATGTCCGAGCGTAGTTCTAACCATGCTCACTTGTTCTGGCAGGTTCAAAGAGTGATATGCATAAGTTTCTTGTCTTGGCCTTTGTTTAGTGTTTGATGATGGGACTTTTCCTTGAGAGATTGGACATCTGGTTGCTCGACTGTGCTAAATTAGGGCCCAATTTGGCCCGCTTCTTCGTTGCCAGTAATTTCCCCATGTGCTGGACCCCCCCTGTATGGTAAAATTGAAATGGGCGAGCATTTATTGCTCGGGTAGGGCTAGTGATTTGTTGTTGATAGGTTCAGGACTGATGTGGTGGGTGGAGACGCTTCTAGAGTCTTGACTTGGACCTGCTTCATGAGTGCTTTGTTCTGTCTGAATGCTGCGTGTTTCAGGGGCCCATATGGGGGTTTTACTTGATACCCTAGGGGTTATGATAGAATACTACCCCCTCCGTCTTTGATTGCCTTGTGGCGCCATCGTGTAGACAGGGGTCACTTAATATTTGGTTATCTTGTTATCAGAAAGCGTAAGACTCTTTTTTTTTAATTTTTCCACATTCTTTTTAATTTAAAGCGCGGGATGAAATTGGAAAACAAGAACTTAGTCCCGATGATATAATTTGTTTTGTGATTGGCCGTTCACTAACTTCAATTTTAATCTAAACATTTATCATTACAACTAACAAGAAACAACAAACAAATCGTGAAAATTTTCGCAAAGCAACCACAACAGAAGTGCTACAACCAACTAGGTTATTTAATGGTTAAATTTATTTGTAAACGAGTGGCTGTCACATATTCTTGAAAGACAGTAAAAAACTGTGCCAAGGGCATTGAAACTTGAAAGATATTTACTGTAATGTTCATAATTATGTACTAAATAATTTTAAAAATGTATACTATTATAATGAGTACTTGGTTTAAATAAACTTAATTTGTTTTTTATATGATGACAAACAAAACGAAGGGTTGATAACGATGTACATGTGTATGTCAGGAAAAGACTATATCAGATAACCATATAACGCTATATCACTTTTATGGTCTAAGATATCACCATTTAGTCATCGACTTTCTACACGGTGAAAATCCCCCAAGTCGTCGACACAGTGAAAAAAGGGGTTTCTTTAAGGCTTTATGGTGTTGTAGTCTTTTTTCACTTTATCGTCATTTCATAAAAAATTTAAAGAAAATTTGATTAAAATCAATTTTCTACTTTTCACTTTCCTGGGTAGCCTTTTTTTCATATGAACTGGGCCCAGAAAGTCTGTGTCTGACGAAAAGAAATTTTTTGTTTGAATTGATTTGAATGAATTTTTTTTTCTTTCAAGTGTAGATGTAAAATTTAGCCCGAAAAAAAAAATTGTAATTTAAAAATCTCATTTTGAAAATTAATTGCCATTTAAAAGGAAATGGAATGAATTGATACGACCCTTTAAAAATTGTACAAAATAATGCCAATTAAAAGCAAAATCTTTTTTATAAAATTTTTTAGAAATGATTATTATTTTTTGAAGAAGTTAAAAAAAGAGGATTTTAATTAAAGAAATATTTTTTTTTACCAAAAAACAATCACAAATACATAATATGCATTTGAGATATTCATATGTTTTTTTTTTATATAAGTTTAAGGTTAGAAAAAATATGCTCGGACATTTTAAATATTATATCATTTTATGTGCTTATGATTGATTTAATCATAATGTAATCTTTCTGTTATTTACTCCCCTACTTCTGCCTTAATTAACTGTGATTCTGTATTTCTACAAGTTCTACACAGTCATTTTGATGTAGAAAACAATAGTACAAGACTATATATATATTTGTATTATCATATATATATAAGTGTGTTACAAAGTTATAGTAATACCAAGGGTCAAAACCACCTGAAATGCTGCAGTTAAGAGATGCATAGACTAAAGTAATTCAAACCCATTTAGTTGGCATACATTTGACAACCTTTACGCAGTGATCTCCCCTTAATTTATCGGCGTTAGTGTACTTATAGAGGGAAGTAACCGCTTCGAGGAGTTTGGACTTCTTTCGGACTTTGCCTATAACAATATCAGGGTCTGAAATTTCGCTACCATTATTGGTTTGGTTTGACGACCCAAACAAATAATAAAATTGTATAAAGAAAAATAACGATTTTTGATTGTATTGGTCTATAACAATATAACAAAACAATCAGATTTACAGATTTATAAGGAATTATTTCTTATTTAAGAAGCTAATATATCATTAGTCCAAATTAACAAAAATGATTTAAAATTAACAGGGTTAAACAAAAACTCTTTTAAAAAGGGGAACCAAATTCAGATTTTTAATTTTCTATGCAGCTTTAAAAAATTTTTGGTTGAACCCAATTTTTTTCCCCAAGAGGAATTTTTTATACATTTAAGCTTTGGGTTTTACAAAAAATCTTTTTCAGTATATGGCTGGTACAAAACAAATAACATTTTGGGGATTTTCAGGAATTTGGAGTTGCACACCCCAAGTGTATAAATCAATTGCACTGATTGTGACTGTTTTTTAAATTTAACTACAGTTCCGTATTTGTAAAATGTACAGATGTAATTTAAAAGGCCCAAAAATTTTATATTACACAGCATTTTAAAAATTAGATTGATAGGATTTTCCCAAATTTTAAAACCAAAAATTTTGGGTTGTCAAACTCAGCGCCCAAATCCTGAAAAGGGGAATCATTTGCGTGGGGCCCACAGAATTTTTACGCCATTCCCAACGCAAAAGGGAAGAACTTTGAAATGAAATTAAACAAAGTTTTGGGCCCGGAAATCAACTGCAGGGGGACATTCAAAATTTAGTGTCTGGGGAAAATTTTTCGAGGGATTTTAAGGGAAATCAAAATTAGGGTCTTTTCCCCAGTTTTAAAGGAGTTTTATACCATGTGAAAAAGAAGTTAAAAAGGGGAATCTTTATTTCCAAATAATTAAAACCCCCTCGGTGCTTGGGACCCCTTTTTTTGCTTTACAAAATTTGGAGTCCCCGGGACTTTCCCCTTTTAAAAAGGACCGTTTGCAAATTTTTACTTATTTCCCCAAACATTGACTTTCAGGTCAGCTTTTATTTAAACCTTTTTTAAACGCCTTAATTTTCCTTTTGGAAAAAAGGAAGGATTTTGATGGGAATGGAGGTTAAAAACCCATCCAAATATCAAGTCATCCAATAAGCAAGAACGAAGCATCCTAAAACGATTTTTTTTTTTTAAATAAAAATTTTATTTTAGAGGTTTGGTTAACATGGGCCCCTTGGGCCCGTTATTTTATCAAATGATCTTTTTTTTGGGGAAAAAATTTCCCATAAACAGGTCAACAAAAGACAAACCAAAGTTTTCGCTGTTCAAACCTCTTGGGCCCAAGACAAAAAAA